GACCACCGAAGAATCCTGTTGAACTACAAAGACTTGAAAAATCATCAGCCATAGGTCTACATGCTATAGAATCAGGCCACAAAATTGATTTTGACAATGTTGAAATAATCCAGAAAAACTTCAGAAATCACAAAGAACGTTTAATATCAGAAGCACTTCATATCAAGTGGAATCAAAATTGCCTGAATAGGAATGATGGACTAAAACAGAATCTGACCTGGTTACAACACCTCCCTCCCCCCCATCAAGTGACAAAACCAACACGAATGTGATAAGCACTTTCATTATGTAAACACACGCTGCTTTTATAATCTTATACACTTATCAAATCCAACAATCTACACATGATGATTTTGTTATCTTTACCAATTCACCAACTTAACAACTAAAAATGCCCCAGACAGACGAACGATGATCAAGTTAGTAAACTTTTTTCGATATCATAACAGACATACTATTACCTTTGTTATTTGGTATAGTTATCTTCATCGCTATTTTTACTTTCAATATGTCCCTTTAACTTGACCTATGTCTATTTTCTCACCCCCTAACTGTTTGTTATATATATGCTGAGATTTTGTAAATTCCGGTTTAATAATACTTTGATAAAGCTATTAGCATTAAATAGCGAAACGTCAGTAAAAACAATATCGTTTTGTTTTTCATTCATTGGGAAATACAAAAAGCTTTATTATAACTAATCAATTATCTAAACTTGACAAACCTCATGTACACACACACACAAATATTTATATGTAAATGCGATTGTACAAAATAAACAGATAAATGTCTATCCCTCTACAGTCAAAGCAGAAGTAGGGGTTGTACATACTTCTTTTGTACACAAAAGTCTGGCCTAAATTTATGAATGGCCAAGGCCTCCACTATCCTTAGAAGTTGATAAAGAAGAAAACGCGGCTAGTTAGCATGCATTCGATAGCTGATCTTAAAATCATGGTTAGGGTTGGTAGAGTGACAGGAATCGATGAAATGTTCTAGAACAGAGATTCGTACACCCTTCCTTCCTCCCTTATAAAACCATTCTGGAATATGTTCTCGTATCCGCGTGGAAAGCATCCTGTGGCTGGGGCCAATGTACTTTGCTCCACAAGAGCAGGTGAACTGATAGATGCACATGGAGGTGGTCAGACGGGGGAGCTTATAGTTTACAGAGATGGAGAACAACTTACGACTGGTGAACCTCATTGGTAATTGTGCAGCAAAGAACGTTTTACCAACTGATTTAGAGAGACGGTTTTCAGCATATCTGAAGCTTGATCACCCCTTTGAATTCCAAGTTCATGAATATGGTTTTCTTTGGAACTGAGTTAGTGACCAGTTTAGATTGCCTATCTTTCGTGTTAATGTACGTATCTTTCCCTTATTACTACGATTATTATTATTATTATTATTCTCACTTTGAATTGTTTGTGCTTGTCCCACTTGTCATTCGAAATCCAAAAAGAAATGCTTTTACAATGTTGAATCCTACCTTATTAAATTTCACACAATGTAACGTTTTATATTAGCCTGCTAATCCTACAATTATACTCCCTTTCCCAACATCTATACACCTTATGAATTATTCTACATATGACACTAATTGTTCTGCTACTTGACATTTAACTATGATTATAATCACAAACATTTTAATTTTAATTGTATTTCATACTATTATTGTTATTTTATGTATTCACACCTTTCATCGAATTCCCTCACCGGATATAATTTCTTAAAAACCATATGTGTATATACGATTGTACAGCTTGATAATAAATTCGTTGGAAAGAGTCTCTTTGCTGAATATTGTGTTTTCAATGTTACAATGGGAATTATTAAATTTCGACAACACAATAAGAAGACGTAGTTTATCTGAAACGTGTAATGTATTGGCGCAACAGATTTCGGACATTCTGATCACACACGTACTTGTCATACACAGTTTTTATATATAATGCAAGAAGGCATGAATAATTACAATACAGGTCAGATTGCATAGAGGTCAAGGTCACAAATAATGGGTAGGGAGACACAAAATGTGTGGGTAAGAAAGATAACAGGAGAAAAAACAAGGCAAAGAAGGGGTTGAAAATATTAGGAAGTAAATTAGTCCTTGGTTCTAAATTGGATTACCAAGGCAGGTTTAAGGTGATAACAAATAATTTTTTGGACACATAAGACAGGTTTAAGCCTTTTTATGGCTTAGGCTTCAATGAATTTAAGTATGTGCCCCAACCTTGTTTTATATATCGGCTTAAAGGCACTGTTGAAATCAACCTTATGACCCGTCTCTATAATGTGCTTGGCTATAGATGATGTTGGACATCTATTTCCGGGTTCAATTGTATCTGGTGATTTCATTTGTTGCTGCAGCCACTTGGGAATGTTTTCTGTAGCCCTAACCTGCAGAGACCGATGGGTCCTCCCTATGTACGTGTCTCCACACATACATTTAAATTGATAAACACAGTGGGATGTTACACTATCGTTCGGATGATGTGAGGGTTTACAGAACAGCATAGTTCTCGTTTTCTCTATGAAGATAAGTTTAGCTGCATAATAGGTTCTATTAATTGCGGCCTTTAGTCTTTGTCTAGTGACTAGACTTTGTTGATCACCTCTGAAGGGTGACCTTGACCTGTATTGTAATTATTCATGCCTTCTTGCATTATATAAAAACTGTGTATGACAAGTACGTGTGTGATCAGAAATGTGTTGCGCCAATACATTACACGTTTCAGATAAACTATGTCTGCCTATAGTGTTGTCAAAATTCATAAAGGGAACTAATTGCTTTAAATTATTAAAGTGGAATCCAAGTGAAAACAATATTGTTTTTACTGACATTTCGGTATTCATTAATGCTGCTGATAATCGCTTTATCAAAGTAGCATTATTAAACCAGAATTTACAAAAACCACTCAGCTTATACACATACAACAACTTAATCATCGTTTCTCAGCATGGTGTCATTTTTGCGTTGTCAAATTGGCCAATCGGTAAAGATAAAAAGGGCGGGTGTAGATTGTTGGATTTGATAAGTGTGTAAAATCGTAAAAGCAGCCTGTGTTTACACAATGAAATTGCTTATCACATTCGTGTTGATTTTGTCATTTCATGGGGGACGGGGTGTTGTAACCAGGTCAAATTCTGTTTTATTCCATCATTCCTATTCAGCTCAGACAATTTGGATTCCATTTGATATGAATTGCTTCTGATATTAGACGTTCTTTGTGGTTTCTGAAATTTTTCTGGATTATTTCAATATTATCAAAATCAATTTTGTGACCTGATTTTATAGAGTGTAGACAACCTATGGTTGTTGGCTTTTCAAGCTTTTCTAGTTCAACTGGATTTCTCGGTGGTCGAACAGATGCTCTACGGTGTTCATTTCTTCTGAATTTGATTTCTTTCCGGCGAAGTTTGTTCGATGTATATCGCATCACATAACAAGCATTTTATTTTATAGACACAATTAGATAGAGAATCTTAAGGGATTTGGTCTTTTATATGGACAAGGTTGCTCTGCAGTGTGTTTGATGTTTTGAAGAAAACTGTGATGTCGAGCTTATTGAGTACCCTTTTGATATCATCTGACGTCTCTGCCCTATATGGAATGACAACTGTTGAGGCCCATGTTTTCGGAATACGTTTATCGACCATATTTAATATCTGTGTTGATTTTGTTGATGAAGTTCTCTGGGTAGTTGTTTTGCTTCAGAGTCTCAGTAATGTCTGATATTTCTTCTTTTTCTTTCCCATCCGTTATCAACTTGACAACGCAACAATGACCTTATGCTGAGAGACGATGATTACGTTGTTATATATGTATAAGCTGAGTGGTTTTTGTAAATTCTGGATTAATAATACTGATTTGATAAAGCTATTATAAGCAGCATTAATGAATAGCGAGACGTCAGTAAAAACAGGAATATCGTTTTGTTTTTCATTTGTTCATTGGGAAATACAAAAAAAACACCCTCTTTATTATAATGAATATCATATGCGAGAAGACAGGGATATCCTGGACCGACGTGAAGAACCTAAAAGACCTGGATTTCGCGCGTGGATGATTTATGTTTGATGTCACACAAAATCGAAGACTTACAAGCGAAAACCGACAAACTCGTCGAAGAAGCAGCCAGAGAAGACAGGACTCCAGGTGAACATAGACAAGACGGAGGTTATGAAAATAACCAACCAACCAACAACAACAGCAGCAACATCCAGTGCCAATCACCATCAACGGGAGGGATTTGAAAGAGGTTACTTCTTTCACTTATCTAGGGAGCATTGTCTCAACTACAGGAGGAACGGACGAGGATGTCAAATCGAGAATCGGGAAGGTGAGAAACACATTCATCAACCTGAAACCAATCTGGAAATCTTCGTCACTCCTCAGCATCAACAACAAAATGATTCGGATTTTCAATACAAACGTCAAGTCAGTCAGTTCTTCTATACGGATCAGAAACTTGTCGGGTCACAAAGAATATTTCCAACAACCTGTTGCAGACCTTTATCAACAAATATCTTCGCTCTATACTGAAAATCAAATGGCCGGAAAGAATCACCAACAAGAAACTATCGGAACAAACAAAACAGGAACCAATCGCTCAACAAATATGCAGGAGAAAGTGGAGATGGATTGGACACTCGCTGAGGAGGCCGTTGGGTGACATCGCGCGTCAGGCCATAGGTCGAGTGGAACCCTGGAGGGAAGCGGCGAGTGGGACGCCCAAGGGTGAAATGGTGGAGATCGTATGAAGAGGAATTGAGACAATGGATTAACATGGATGCAAGTGAAAAGTACAGCACAAGACAGAAGCAAGTGGAGACGTGCAGTTGAAGTCCTATGTTCCACTAGGAACCCAAAGGAACATTAATAATAATAATATATACCCAATGCGCAAATTTTTTCAAACTTTTAAGAGGTCAACTTGGTTTGGACATATGCATATAAAGTGAAAACAAATACAAGTCCAAAAAAGAACACTTACAGCACAAAATATAATGGCTTGACCAACTGCAAATCCACCATAAATATCTTTCAATGCTTGATACTTTTCAATCCAATCATTAAAACACATATAGAATTGTTTAATATTCTTCAACGGCAGTTGACTACGCTTTATACGAAATTCTATTGGATTAGGGACAAAGTCATGAGCGAATTCAATGACAGAATCTTCATAAGTGGCTGAGAATAACAAGATTTGACAATTTCTTGGCAATTTTCTTTAGAGTTGAATATAATGAAGAATACAAAATCAGTATTACAGTGGGAGGAGAAATAATAAATACATATGAAATGTATTTTTCAAAAATATTTTTTATTAAACAATGAAGGTTATGAAGCTCACCTTTACTTCAATCAGTCACTAGGATATAGCCAATATTGTTATGTATCCTCAGTTCTTAGTGTCAGTGCTGGTCTGAATTCTATCAGGTACCAACAACCAACCAGGGCTTACTGTCGATTGTCTAACAAAGTTGACTTGTTTTTCTATCACATTTATGAACTGCGGCTTTTATTTGATCAGACAAGTTCATTGTCGAATTTCTGGCCATCTGATCTTGAGTATTGAGCGAAGACAACTGTTAATGAAGGTCTGTAGTTTGTTTGAGATGCTCTTTATGACGCGCAGTGCAAGTCTCTGATCCGTATAGTAGCACTGACTTCACATTGGAGTTGAAAATCCGGATCTTATTTTTGATGCTGAGTGTTGTTGACCTCCACACAGACTTGAGAGTAGTGAAAGCTTGTCTTGCTTTTCCGATCCTTGCTTTGATATCCTCGTCAGTTCCGCCCGCCTGTAGTTGAAACGATGCTCCCCAGGTCGATGGGTGAAGGAGGTTGTTTCTTTCAGGTTCCTCCCATTTATGCTGATTGTTGTCAGTTGTTGTTGTTGCTGTTGGTGGTGTTGCCCAGGAATTTTCATCACCTCTGTTTTATCTATGTTCACCTGAAGTCCTATCTTTGATGCTTCTTCTGCTAACTTGTTGCTTTTCGTTTGCATATCTTCCAGTTTGTGGGAAATCAGACATATATCATCGGCGAAGTCCAGATCCTCCAAGTTTTTTGTGTGTGTCCATTTTATGCCTGTTTCCTCATTGCCCACTGTTTGTCGCATTATCCAGTCAATCTGGGCAGCTTTGCCAATCTCGTACATAGTACGGACATTCCATGTCCCCACAAAGACTTTTTCTTTTGTCTCAAGGAGATACATCGTGCTGAAGTTTCTGTAGCAGGTTTGTTTACAGGGTGGGGTTGCTAGCCTCACGCCTGGTTACAACAGTAATAAAATAAAATAAAGGGCATGACAATTACTCAGTTATATAAAACAAAGGTAGATACTTAATAATGAACCAGTTATATTTAAATGAATCAAGTAGTCCATGATGGGCGAAGATTGAAGTCTATTATACATGGATTTATAACTGTAGAACCTGAGGAAGAAGTTATCGAAAACAATTGTTCGCTCAAAATCTTGTTTTGATTTCAATACGGGGATATTTTATTTACTGAGATTGAAGTCTATTGATTTTTGTACACACAGTTTAGACTGTATGTGATTAATCCCCAAAAGTGCTTCCATCACCTTCAATAACCAACCTTGAATTGGAGTTATGTGATAAAATAATTGTGAAACAGTCATTAAAGTGATTTTGTGACCTAATAATTATAAGTGGTTTGCAATGGATAATGCAGGATTTCTATTCAGATTAATCGCGTTGGGATTTTCTATATGATTTAGTAGCCATCTTGGAACATGTCCTTTTCTACGACATTGGAGCATTCTGTTGGTTCTACGTATTCTATGGACTCTACTTCAAACTGTATCTACAAGTCCACTTGAAGTTGTGGTGACACCTACATAGGTAGAACCAACAGAATGCTCCAATGTCGTAGAAAAGAACATGTTCCAAGATGGCTACTAAATCATATAGAAAATCCCAACGCGATTAATCTGAATAGAAATCCTGCATTATCCATTGCAAACCACTTATAATTATTAGGTCACAAAATCACTTTAATGACTGTTTCACAATTATTTTATCACATAACTCCAATTCAAGGTTGGTTATTGAAGGTGATGGAAGCACTTTTGGGGATTAATCATATACAGCATAAACTGTGTGTACAAAAAACAATAGACTTCAATCTTCGCCTACCATGGACAAAATGACCTATTTAAATATGATTGGTAATTAGTATGTACTTTTGTTTTTTATATAACTGAGTAATTGTCATGCCCTTTATTTTATTTTATTATTGTTAACCATGTTAGTTGTAAAGCGGTGGTAAAAAACCTATGAAATGATATCATCTCGCGAAATTTGTCTTCTAAATGCCTTATTCTAATATATATGATAGTCTGAGGTCAAATTATGATCACAGCTCATACAATTTTGTTTATCATACACGTTGATATCTGTCTCATGACTCATATGATTGGACAAAGTTTTTAAAAACAAAAGAGATGCCCTTTTATATGTAAACCTCTGTTATGTTAATTACGATTAATTTTCCTGAAGAAGTCCGGACCAGTTTTCACCGAACGCAGTAAACGTTGGAATTAATCATTTCAATTTCGCTGAGATTTTACAAATGTCTACTTTTCACTCGGCGCCCAATTATTTTGCAACTATACGGGCAAATCTTGATCACAGATCATCTGAACTCACTTGTTTGTATAATTCTTCTGAGTCATCCTATTCTTCTTACTACTCATCATTAAAAGTCAATCTGAACGAAGAATATTCTTTTCACGAGTTGATCACGGACCGATATCAGTTAGAGAACCACTGAAAGCCAGGGAGTACTGGACAGCTGCTGCTTCATCCTAGTTTGGGAATCATCGGCAGTACTCACCCACTGGGATTCGAACCCAGGACCTTTCGGGTTACAAGGCAAGTTCGTATACCATTCTAACTTCTACCAATTCGTGATTTAGCGCGTAGAAGTTAGAATTCATGAGCCGTTGAATCAGGTCCCAGTGGCTGAATGGTATACGAGCTTGCCTTGTAACCCGAAAGGTCCTGGGTTCGAATCCCAGTGGGTGAGTACTGCCGATGATTCCCAAACTAGGATGAAGCAGCAGCTGTCCAGTACTCCCTGGTTTTCAATGGTTCTCTAACTGATATCGGTCCGTGATCAACTCGTAAAATCATAACAAACCCTTACAAACCAAACTTTAGAAAATATTCTTTTCAATAATTTCTCCTCTTCAGGTTCTCACATCATTATAAAATATAATATTTGTTGTCGTTACAATAATGACAACCAGTTATGTGGCGGATACATTTTTCTAATGTAGAATAACAGATTAGTTATGGGGTGTCAAAATAAATAGTCGTATTTGTGTGACAAACGTGCCCTGGGGCTGAAATCGATTACAAAATATTTCGGTGAAATGGGAGACAATGGTGGTGATTAGTCATAATAGATTTGTAGAGTGTGGGGTAGGAAAATTGACAAGTCAGTTCAAGGTTATAAAAGGTGTATGTTGAGTGATTGGCTAGTACAAAGTGGTATGTATTAAAGAGGAGATAGTAAGAATGCAATGCTCGCCCAGCAACTCAAAAATGTCTTACCTAACCTCAGCTCTTTTTCATGCATATACCATTTCAACCGTTCCTGTGGTTCAACTTACATGGGGTGCATGATCAGGCAGGTTCGTCTACGAGTTTCGAGAACATCTACTAGCTTGGTTCAGAAGGGCGTAAATTAAGTGCATAAAAAGGTCGATACTGGACATCGCATCGACGTCAACACAGCTTTCAGGGTTATATACCGAATTCCGAATTCGTTATCACGTACAGTTCGCTTACGTCTGCTACACATAGCTGAAGCTGTTGCAATAAGATCGACAAAACCGGAACTTTGTATCCAAAAAGAACGCGTCCAGATGTTGTTCCTACCGTGGCCAAACTTGGATTGATGATTCTTCTTCTCACCAAGAGTGCTTCTTCCGCATAACCCTGTTGGTTTCTTTCCTTCTTTGCTTTCCATTACAATTATTATTTTTCGTCATAATTTATGTCCTTCATGCAAACATTCTCTCAATACTATCGAATTTTCCATTTATACTATCCGGACCTATTATTAGTGAAACTATCTCTTTTCCCAATATATGACTCCACCTGTCTCATTTCACATATTCGTTATCTTATTATGAACCACTTATCATAGTCTGTCTATCTCCTCTTAAATACTCACCACTTTCTACTAGCCAATCACTCAACATACACCTTTTATAACCTTGAACTGACTTGTCAGTTTTTCCTACCCCACACTCTACAAATCTATTATGGCTAATCACCACCAGTCTCCCATATCACCGAAATATTTTGTAATCGATTTCAGCCCCAGGGCACGTTTGTCACACAAATACGACTATTTATTTTGACACCCCATAACTAATCTGTTATTCTACATTAGAAAAATGTATCCGCCGCATAACTGGCTGTCACTATTGTAATGACAACAAATATTATATTTTATAATTGTGTGAGAACTTGAAGAGGAGAAAAGAATATTGAAAAGAATATTCTTCGTTCAAATTGACTTTTAATTTATGTAATATGGGAATATTTCACATTACTCATCATTATTTTACACATTTCTTGACTATGTAATAACTTGTTACTAACACCTAAGCATCAACTTATCTTGAATTCCCTAATTAATTTTCATTCTTCCTTCAAGAATTAGATGTCTTGTTACTAAGATGCATTAGTTAACTGTTTTGATGACTTTTAACCTCGCTTCCCCCTTTAACTAAAAACGATAAACCAAAATTACCACTTGATTGGTAGAAAATTGTGATATAAAAACTAATGAAAACAAAACACGTAGATCAGAGAAGAGTCTCTTTTCGGCGAATTCATTTTCTTAGCTGTACAATCGCAAATATATGTGTTATTTTGTATGTATGTATGTTTACATTAAGTTTGTCAAACAAAAATACAATTGGTTATAGTTATTTAAACTAAACAGGTGAAGATTGGTAATTGGAGTTACGTAATACAAAATCAGTCAAGAAAATTAGGTGTTAGTGAAATTAGGGTAGTAACAAAGGTGGTGAGTTGTCACAAACAGTTGTTAAAAGAAGTTATGTGATAATATGAATATTTTGATAAGTGAGATTTACTCAGGATGCACATAGGAACAAAGTAGATAATACGAAATCACGTAAGAGTTCTAAATGAATACAAGAATTTTAAGCAATTGC